ATTTTTAACCTCCTCTTCAATCCTTAAAATCTCTTTTTTAATAAAAATCATCAAACTTTCTTTGAAAAAACGAAGGTACTTGGAAATATATGCATAATAAATATTTCCTTGTGACTGAGAATTAATTAATCACAGATTCCACAAAAAAACCTCTATTGTTTCAACGTTACATTCATAATATATCTTTATTAATACTAATACTTATATAAATACTAAGAACAAAAGGCATAGAAATGAATATGCTTTAGAGCTCAAAACAGAATGCATAAGCTGCCTTACCTTATAGTAGAATTCGGGTGATCCAAATCTGATTTCTTGACGGATTCAATAATTCTCAAATGAGGTCAAGCATAAAGTGCGTTTTACAGATAAATTAGGACAAAAGCAGGGCTCGTATCACAGATTATTGCAGTTTATTTACATTGATAACAATTCTTTACTGTGAACTTAATATGAAAGATAGCAAATAAATATTTGTCTACAAGTCCCTTTTTATAAACACATATGCATTTGCTTGAAATTGACACACATTTTCAAATATCTTTTTTCATTCTCCATAAAAAAATGAAGGTCTTCAAATGTTATTTTTTCAATACATGTGAGCGAAGTAATTTCCGTAAACACCGACTATTGATCTTATGCCGCAACAAACCATGGCGCAACACATGATCTTGCAAACTGGGGATTTGCTCATTGAAGTGCTCTTCTTGTCTTGAAAAAAAAATCTGGTCACCGTTGTGCTAATACAAGACTTTTGATGGGAATTCCTGAATCAGTAGTGAAGTTTCAAAGCATTAGTTGTTGAAAATACTGCAAGAGAAAGATGATCTGCTAGAAAAGATTAACACAGATATTTTTCAAAGATCATATAAAAAAGAAGAGATACATTCTGAAATTGAGGAATTAGTGCCGGAGATTAAATATTATATTTAAGGGGGCTGACTATAGTTTTATTGTGTGAAAACTAAAATGGCGAAACTCTTCATTTTTTTACTAAATATAACTTACATTAATTCTAGTGTACATGCAAAGTTTGGGGGAAATCTACTGACCTACTGTTTTGGTCATCACTCTCCGAAAACAAAATATGCATCGACTCACAAAGTTTGATGATTCTAAGCCAATAAATACCTAAGATACTTAAATATAGCCATAAAATGTCAAAAGTAGGTTATCGTGACCTACATTTTGGTCGACATTTTTCAAAGACCCAAGATGCATCTACTGACCAAGTTTGATGATCGTAGGCCTGAAGGTAGTCAAAATATGCGTTTTAAACAATTTGAAAACAAATGTCAGCATAATTCAAAAAGTAGGTCAGTGACCTACTTTTTCATAAATATGTTTTAAGGTCCCAAGATGCATCAAAGTACAAGATTTCATGATTCTAAACCTCCCAGTGTCTGAAATAATGGGATTTAATGTTTTTAAAAAGATAAGTCATAAAGTTCAAGAAGGAGGTCACAGTGACCTAATTTTAAGTTGACATTGTTTTAGGACCCAAGATGCATCAACTGACAAAGTTTGATGATCATAGGCCTTAAAGTGTTCAAAATATGCCTTCAATTCAATTTGAAAACAAATCCCCGCAAAATTTAAAAAGTAGTCACTGTGACCTACTTTTGAGTTAACTGATGTGAATTCGTAAGATGCATCAACTTACAAGATTTGATGATCCTAGTCCTTATAGTAAGCAGAATATACACGTTTTTATTAATTGTAAATTTAGGTCAACTTTGAAGTGACCTTGAGACCACGCCCTTTTCCCCCAGGGTAATTCCCGTGCAAATTTTAATCTTCGACATATCCTGATCCTTGTATGTGAGTTTGGTGAAAATCTGCCTGGTGGTTATGGAGAAGATTTTTTAGCAACCAGTACTTTTGGTTTTGTTTTCCTGATTATCTCCCCTTGTTTAAGGGTCCCAACCCTTATTTTAGTATAAATGGTAGCCCTTGGGCCAAGGATACCCTGTGACAAATTTGGTACTGATTGGCCAAGGGGTTCTTGAGTTATGGACCATATTCTAAAAAGTTTACGCACACTGCACACCGCACAAATGGCCATAGCATTAGCTCTTTGAGCCTTTGGCTCAAAAAGAGCTAAAAAGAGGCCCATGGGCCACATCGCTCACCTGAGTAACTTGGGTGATGAAGTTCTTTACCCGATTTCCCCTCTTGCTATACCTATCATGTCCCCTTTCATGAATATAATACTTTAGAATCTAAACTAGCAAGGATGCTTTCACATAAGTTTCAGCATTCCAGGCCCAGTAGTTTTTGAGAAAAAAATTCTTAAAAGATTTTTCCTAAATATATCTATGTAAGACTTGGATTCCCTATTGTGGCCCCGCCCTACCCCCAGGGGTCATGATTTTAATAATTTAATATCTACTCTACCCCAGGATGCTTACACATAAGTTTCAGCTTTCCTGGCTCAGTGGTTCTTGAGAAGAAGATTTTTAAAGATTTGTTCTATACATTTCTATGTAAAACTTGGATTCCCTATTGTGGCCACGCCCAACCCCCGGGGTCCATGGTTTTAACAATTAAATATCTACACTACCCAAGGATGCTTCCACATAAGTTTCAGCTTTCCTGGCCCAGTAGTTCTTGAGAAGAAGATTTTTAAAGATTTGTTCTATACATTTCTATGTAAAACTTGAATTCCCTATTGTGGCCACGACCAACTCCCGGGGGTATGGTTTTAACAATTTAATATCTACACTACCCAAGGATTCTTCCACATAAGTTTCCGCTTTCCTGGCCCAGTGCTTCTTGAGAAGAAGATTTTTAAAGATTTGTTCTATACATTTCTATGTAAAACTTGAATTCCCTACTGTGGCCCCGCCCAAACCCCCTATGGTTTTAACAATTAAATATCTACACTCCCAAGGATGCTTCCACATAAGTTTCAGCTTTCCTGGCCCAGTGGTTCTTGAGAAGAAGTTTTTTTAATGACCCCACTCAATTTTTGTTTTTTCTTGATTATCTCCCCTTGTAAGGAAACTTAGCCCTTCATTTTTACAATTTAAACTCCCCTTCCCCTAAGGATGTTTGTCCAAGTTTTGGGAAAATTGGCCCATTGGTTCTTGAGAAGAAGTCAAAATGTGAAAAGTTTACGGGCGGAGGACGGGCGACGGACAAAATGTGATCAGAAAAGCCACTTGAGCCTTCGGCTCAGGTGGCTAAAAATTAGCTTAAAGCTTTTAGCTGATCAAGACTCTACATGTAGAAAAATTGAAATCTTCATAATAAAATGTGATCATACATGTACCTGATGTACTAGATGAATCTGTCATCCTTTTTTTCTTCTAGGACAGTCAAGCACAGAATCTAAGAAATTTTATTATGTTTAAAGTTCTCAAAAATGAAAGAAGTATTTATGATTTTTTAGAAAAGTAATGCATGTCTCTTGGAAAATGAAAATGCATATATATAATGCAACTACATTTAGATGAATAAAATTCAAGGCTATATAAAAAATATAAAAAGTGTATATCATCTTTTTACATTGTTTCTTGTTTGATTCTTATTTCATTTATTCAATTGATTTCTAAAAAATTCTTTTTGTAAAACTTTGAATGATTTCTATACTACCAAACAAAATTTAGATCACAATAAAGAACTTACCATCAGCAGATGAGGAGGGGAGAGTACACATACTCTGCTGGGCAGGTTTATACTTTTCCTGAGTTCTGGGAGCTTCTGCTGAAATAAAATTAAACATTTTCACAGAAATATTTGCATTTCAAAGACAGTGCATAGAATTTCATCATGCAACTACCCCTTGCATTGACTAATAAAGGTAACATCATAAACCAAAGCTTTATCGGGTCAATGTCCTAATAAATCCTTGTGCCATATTCCCACATTCTAAAGGCATTGTGACGTCACTTTTATTGCAATGTTTGTGCAGTGGTGTCATAGTTTCCTTCAGAGATATGTCTGAATCAGGTTGAAAATAGTCCAAGGGGTAAAAAAACACAACTCATTAGAAAAAAATCATAGCCAACTACAAATCAGGGGAGATCCTATATGTAAATTTTAGATTTACCAAGTTTAAATGTGTATTAATGCATTTGTTTTGTTCATATTATTTCACACTTTAACAACAAAAAGTCATGAAACTGCAGTATACCATGAGATGAAGCTCCTGGGAATTCAATACATTTACTTGAACTTCCACATTCACTGGTGTCAAAACCACCTTCTATCCCAACCACCATGCTATCATCCAGGATAGAAATGATCTACAATAAAGTTAATGAGCGATGACAAAATATCACTTATAAGGTATCTATCATGTACACATTCATTAATTAAACAATATTTACAGGTAATATCTAAAACAGAATATGTAAAAATTGTACACTTAATCAATTCACTGATGTATTATGAAGCCATGGACCTATTGCTAACATTTTATAATTTAGGTCTCTGATGTAGCAAATTAACTAAAGTGAGGAACTATTTATTTTCTAAATTTCATTTAAGGAATGAAACTTATTTCAACTTATGTTATCTGATATAACATAACTTGGGGCAGTTTATGCTTTATAAACTGCTTCCGGCCCTGCCCTCCTGGGACCTGAGGGGTGGGGTTATGTTATATCGGATAAAAAAAGTTGAAATAAGCTTCTTTCCCTTTAAAAATTTTAATTTCAGTGTAGACAATGAAACAATATTTCCTCCAGAACAAACTTCAAATTGAGCATTATTTTAATAGTAACGTCAAGCGGAGTAATATTTTTTGACGTAACTCATTGTGACGTAGACGAGTTATGTTATACAAAATATATGTTCCTCTAATGATTCAGCCATGAAATTGCTTGATACAAGTGAAATTAAATTATTTAAAGTTAAAATTTAATAATTCAATTAACAACATTTTTTTTTGTTATATCTCAATAAGCATTGGTAAATTTTTATAAAAGAATTACATTTTATACCTTATCTTCACATGGCTTCAGGTTTGCTGGTGGTGGACCCCCCCCAGTTTTCTTCTGGTCTTTTCCCTCTCTGCCTCTCTTTTTTTGTTTTGCTCTGGATGTCTATCCACTTTTTCTGATACTTTTAACATCTCTCTTTTAAAACCCCACATTTTCACTGAAACATAAGAAAAAGATTTTACCAGACCTGGGCCCGGCTATGTGTACAACACTTGACTTACCTCAATTTGCATGATCCGATGATTCATGCAGTGATAAACTTATAGGTGATACAAATCTTAATCCTTGGGGTCGTCATAAATGCCAAAAAAATGCATGGATTTCAGTCCACATTCAGTTTTGCAATACTTCTATTAAAGCGCGATCTTAACTTGACGCAAACGCCAAACCACCATTTTGTGTGAAGGGAGATTCCCCCATTCTATTGGTCGATATATTTATCCTAAAAATTTTAACTTACAAAATAATTACGGATGGCTATATAGAAAACGACGGCTTATCTTTAAAAACCATATCATTGCAGCCTTAACAGAGTGAATTAAATTTAATGTCATATTATCTCGAGAAAATAATCATATGTCAGTATGATGATGTTTAATGAATTTTATAAATATTTTTTCTTTACCCCCCCCCCCCCCCCAAAAAAAACTAAATATTCATGAAGGGTTTTATGGGAAAAAAATACAAGGGGATAGGTCATTTAAAAAACATTTTTTAGGGAAAAACACAAATTTCTTTTTATTTTTATAGGATGATATGGACATTTTTCTCTTCAACATCAATTTCTAAATATTGACATATACATGACGTACCTCTCCAAAACTTCCTCCCCTGCTTGGGCTTTTTTCTCAATCGTTAAAAAGGGGAAAATTTTCCCTTTATGGTGTCAATTCTATCTGTGACACAGTCAACGAGGGCGTTATTCCTCCTGTCTCCAATTTTCTTTCCTGGACATTTCGGAAATAAATCGTCTGCGCGTCATCGCGTCTTGGTTGCGCGGTATCCAAGTTAGTTTTCTTACCTTTAAGCGCTAGAGAGTTCCTTTACGACTTGCGAGGAAAGCTACGACTTAGGAGTTCGACATGCGATTACGACGCGTTTCAAAAACGGCCTACGATTTGTCGTAAGATCGGAAAATTTAGGACTTAGGACTTACGATTTACGACTTTTTGTAAAACGGGGGCCCCCGATATTTTGAAGGACCGCCTCAAAATCAGGTACATTTACTATAGGACTTTTAGAAAAATGCCAAATTTTTGCACTTTTAAAAAATTTACAAATGCTACAATAGACATTTGATTCAAACTATAATATTTTATATGTAATACTATATTATACAATATATGTAAGAATCACAAAATTTTACCGCCTTGTTAACAGAGGGTGCATCTCAAAATAAAAAAAAAACAAATTTTACTATTTTTATAGAGTACGTACTACAAAATTTGACGTAAACAATTGATTCACAAGAAAACATAATAAAAATATTGGAGGTATTCTAAAATTTCTATGTTTTAAATTTCAAGAGCGTATGTTTATTAGTTTTTATGTAATAATATTTTTATTACCCCTCTCTTTAAGAGCTACAGATTAACATAACTAAAAGGACTTCTTTGTGGTTGAGGCACTCCAAATTAATGCAGGGTTTGCTTTGACCATTTTCACTTATATAGACAAGCCTTATAAGTTTTTTTGTACCCACAAGTTAACAAATGTACAGATGTAGAGGCTGATGGATCTTCCATCTCCAAATAATCTCCCAATAATGTACCAGTTTTGAGAGTATACATTAACAAAATAAAGACGAACAGTCACGAAAGTTCCTTTTCCCACTTAAACGGCGAGCGAACGATGACCCAATGGTAAGCGAACTCTGAACGAACCAAAGCAAACTTTGAATGAACGATGTGTGGACGCTGAATGAAAATTGGTGAACCGTTCGAATTTGTGAAGGGTTACCGGTGACCGAACACAGAACACGAACAAAGTGAAAACTCGGGCGCAATGTAAACGGAGGATGAGCGTAAGATGAAGGATTTATTCGGAATGTCAGTTAACTTCTCCTTGCAATGAAACCATTCTTTTGTATTCTAATGGTAGGTGCTAATAAATAAACGAAAATAACGCAGCACAGTTAAGGTTAAAGTAAGGAAGCGGGGCCTAATATTTAGGGACACGTTTCCTATGACGTCACACATTATATAAGGTCTTCAAATACAACAAAATGAAAATATTTGCTATTTCAGATAGCTGGATAGCTTTATACTACATAAATCTTACTATAGCATGCAGATTTGTCGTTTGTTAAATCTCATACAACACACAGTATATAAAAGATACATCGATCTCAATGCAATTGTCAATGTGACGTCATCTCCCAAAAAAGAAGAGTTTTTACACAGTGAGAGGCTGATATGTCACATTTTGTCAATGAAAAATGTATTTTGTTCTCAAATAAAATATTAATTCCAATAGAATAAAAGTCCACTAACTTGGATGCGATGTCTATTTTAGTATAGATAGTTTTCAATAGGCCAGAATTTAGCGAGAGTTATTTCCCGTTGGCCGCCATACTGGAGGTCCAAACGCTCATATTCCTTCATTGTTCAACCAATTTAAAAACATTATATTTGCTATTTTGAGTTTGAAATCATTATTTTCTGAAGTATATAAATTTTTGGGAACCTCCTTTATTTGTTAAAATTATTTTTTATTAAAGATTTTCCACCAAATATTTCTGCTACAACCTCTTATACTTAGAAAGACATGAGGGAAAATCACAGAGTCGATCTCCAATATGGCGACCAACGGGAGGTAACTTTCGCTTTATCGAAAACTATCTATTTTAGTATTTAATTTATAAACTGTCCGTACATTCTCCAGAAAGTAATTGTCGTGTGTTTGTATGCAGATTCATGAAAAAGTAATGGAAGGGCCCTAATAAATCGATTTATTGCAAGGACATACTTTCACTATATCCTATCAAGTTTTACACATAAAGTCAAGAAGCATTAAGTGTTTGAAAAGTGCTGCTTACCTCGTGAAATTAAGCAAATGAATTAATCAAAGCTATCATCTAATGAAGTTGACCAGCAAAATATTCAACCTGTTGTCCAACAAATTAAATTTTAGCAATTAAAAAAGGGAATTATATAGAATCGCTGCACTCTTCACAAACTACATGTAGTTTTGAAAAGGATTATAAATTAAACTAAGATTTTTAACTTGGCTATGCCCTTGCAATATTAGAATTTATAGATGTCCTATAAACTGCAAGAATAATTGCTTAAATCGTGTGACATCGACATCAAGTGACAAGTCTAAAAAAAAATCTAGATTTCCCCAACATGTAAATTTAAAACCCCATTACATTTTTTGATATAAGTGAAAATCCTAAAAAAAGTTGCCCATCATTTAATAAAGTATGTATATTTTAAAAAAAAAAAAAAACGCCGATACTTCCATTTGTTGTCTTAACTGTCCTGCGAAATAAATAAACAAATCAATAAATAAAAAAAAAAATTTAAAAAATTGACCCAACAAAGACGATACGTGCGCATTTAATGAAATTCGGGGACGACCTTGGTTTTCATTTCGCAATATAACGCACTGAATAGCAAAATAGAGCAAATTTCCTCTTTTAACATAATTTGATGAAAATAAATGCAGACAAAATAAGACCTTAAATTTGTTCCCCAAACGAATTAAGGGAATATATTTTTTTTTTTTTTTATTTTAAATATTTCGTCTGCAAGGAAAACCTTCTAGTGATTCTATTGTTTTTTATAATGTCGTCCCAAGAAGTCGGAGACGACATTTCGGGTCCTTGTCGGAGATGGTTGGGACAGTGTTCCTATAATTTTTCTAAAGGGGGGATCACTGGTTGTAGTTTTGTCGTGTGGTATTAAGTTTCAAAATCTCCGTTGCCACGGAAACCTACGAAAAGCGACGAATTTTGCCTGCGGGTTTTTTGGTTCCTTTGACATTCTTCATGAAATTTTGTTGATTTTGATTAGTATTTGTAATTGTGCTCATTGGATTTAAAAATTGGAGATCGTCAATAGTTAGAAACATGGAAACGGGGGAAAAGTGAAATTTCTTCAATTCACTTTCAAATCCAAGTATGAAAGGACTGCTACGAGTTAATGGTTGTCCAAGATTTTTAGTTCCAGAAAACTGTCCATCCAATTGAGCTACAACCTTGTTAGGGTTAATAGGCATGTTGTGTAGATGTTGGGAAAGTAGGGCCCTTCTGCGCATACGCATGAGCTTGCAGGGGTGCAACACGTAAAATGACATATACCTAATATAGCTATAACTTGTAAATTTTTATTGAATCTTTGAAACTCATTATATAAGGGGTTGCATAAGGATATTTAATAGTGTAGATAATATGACACTGTCAAATTAGCACAAGCTGAAGTGCATGCACGTTCGTTTTGCTCTAATTGGCTGAAACAAAATTTTTAATATCTTTTTTGTTTTTTGACGAAATACTTTGAAATCTAAATATAGTCATATATTGTAGGATATCCTACAATATGATATATAATAATTTTCATAAAATCACGCGCATGCACGTGCGCTGCAATCTGATTGGCTAAAATTTTAAATGGCTATAACTCCTTTGGTTTTCAACCAAACAGGATGACATTTGTAAAATAGATAGACATAATGGATTCCCTCAAAAATGTATGATCGTATTGCATATGGATTCACGTGTGTGCGTGTGTGCACGAGCACTTTGCTCTGATTTTTAAATCAAAGTACTGAAAGGTATGGTGGCTTTTTATGCCATCCACATAACTTTTTGTCAACATAATATATCACGTCAAGTCAAGATAACTATAGCGTCAAGTCATGATAACTTTCTGGTTTGTTGTCATTCACTATTTTTATCTTGTACAGTCAAGATTAGCTATCGTATTTTTGCGATAGCTATCTTACAAAACGAGATAATTTATCTTGTATTGCGATTAAAATATATTTTGTCATGTCAAGATAGCTATTGCAACAAAACGTGATAGCTTATTTTGATTTGACAAGATATAAAGT